TCCCTGCACAGCATCTATGTAACAGACTTTTCTGCTAGTATCACACCTTTAGAAACTAGTCACATTGTGATAGAGAATTATGCAAGTATTTTAGCAAATAGCAGAAATACTGCATAATCTGGTACATCAGCACTGTCCACTTATAGTGCCATTTAAAAGATGCAGAGAATAATAACACCTAAGTATATTCCCATATTTAATTTAGCTTCCATAATGCAAATATATGGGAAAAAGATTGTTGAATGTCATACCGGATACACTTCAGTCCAGAATCTGTGCTTTAACTTCTTCTTTGTCTTCTTTAATTGTTTGTTGTTCTTGAATGTATCCAGGTGGGTAAGAACTCCCATTATTTTGGGAAAGCCATGTACTTGACAAATGTTCAGGAATTCAAATGTTTCCATCTCAAATCCAAAGCTGGCATCAATAAGCATTAGAACCTGAAAATACAACATCAGCATCTCACTATAACAATACCATAGTACACACATGAGCCAATTTGAAAGACTGCACCTTTAAGCTTCATGGGAAGCAAAACCTTGCAAAAAGTTTTGTTATTTTCATATAACTCAAAAATCAACCTTGTCTTTTTAACTGAATCTTATGGATCTTAGCTGTTTTAGAAGTTAGTGGGGCTTAGGAAATCAAATATCCTTTATACAGATTTGATTTGCTTGTAGTCTCTAAGAAAACTATAAAAGAATAAGGCTGCTCTATGAATGTAATAACATACAGTATCATCATAAGGTCTGAACTGGTGTTTACTTGGTGAATTTAAAATATCCAAAATCAAGTATTTACCAATATTGGCAAGAATGTCTGACCAAATGAGTAAAATTTTATTATCTATCTTGGATAAACTAATGACTATCAGGCCAAGACTTTTGGTAAAACGAGACAAGCTTAATTCACATCTGTGATTACCATTATGCCTCACTAAAAAGCACTGACACAGGAAAAGAGCACCCAACAGCAACATGAAAATGAAAGCAAAGTTGTATTAGGGCCTCAGCAATTAAGAACTTAAAACACATGAGAACTAAGACATCTACAATCAGCTATGTAATCTCAGCCTCCTAACAATAACGCCAAACAGATTCTCAGCATCATCATGTGTATGCAGAATCTCAAATATCAATCACACCTACCAACAGGAAATAGTTCTAATTTTTAATACTTCTCCCTTCCCCAAGTAGAAAACATGGATGTAGAACAATATCCAGATTAGTACAATCAGGTATTTGGACATTTACAGTTAATATCTAGATTAAAATCCCAAGCTGTAATCAGCTATTAATAATATACCCCAAATCCACAAGTAATGTGAAATTCTGAACAGACAAATGGATATGCACTGGGTCCCCAAGATCAATTGACATAATCCACTGAACCAAAAGTTATAAGTCAATTACAGTGGTGACCATACTCCACTGAAATCAACTTTATTACTACACAGCAGTCCTCAAAAGACTGAGACAGAGTGTATCAAATTAGTAAATTAATATCTATTTCTACTGTCTACATTAGTTAAAAACTTCTTGACTAAAAGACATTTTCAGATTTCACATGGTTTGACCAAATCCTTTAAGGAAAAGTAACTTTATCACCTTGGCTTGCTATGAGATTTCTCATTAAATGTTGACTCACTGTACTAGCAATGAAGTTCAGTTACATTTCCCCTCTTCCACATCCTCCCAATGAGTAAAGAAATCAGACAATTGGTGCACTCCAATCCAAAGTAGTATTTTCAATATAAATTACAGCAGAAATCACATGCCACTGTTAACTCACCAAATCAGCAACTTTCGCCAGGTCAATCATTGTGTTAATGTCACATCCACATTCAATAATAGTTAGCCTGCGTTTTTTACCTAAAAACAGAATTAAGAATGAAAGACTGAAACAGAAGGATCAAGCTAATCAGCCCATCTTTCTTTTTCAGGTCACATTCCTGTAGTCAGCCACTGTCAGCTCAGCTTGACTAACCTGAGATAGCTAACTGAACTTTAGACACAGAATACCTAGAAACGGCAACTTTATACATATAGTTGTGACATGATAACAGCTATGATTTTTTCTTCAGGCAATCAATTGCAAAATTCAACCCTTGAGTCCCAGTAGACCAATCAGGAAAATCAACTGAACATGTCATTTTTTCTTTCCATTTTTTCTTTCCTGTATTTGCCACTTATTCCCTGCGAAAAGGAAATTTACTAGTTAAAGTCACTGAAGAACCTATCTGCACCAAACATACAGTTGTCCAAGCAAGATCTCCCTTACAAATGGGTTTCTTGAACTGCTGCGGGCTGTGCACCCCTAGAACCTCAATGATCCCCCCAGGTAATATTGAGGAAAAAGCAAGAAAGGAAAAGACCAAGACAACTGGAAACTGAGCATGAAAACTTAACAAAAAGGAAAAGGAACTCATGAGGGAGTGAGGTGGAGAAATGTTACCAGAAATGACCAGGCAAATTAGTTCTTGGCTTAAGGAAGAAAGGGACACAAAGATAGGATTACAGAACAGGAATATGAAAGAACATGAAACACATGTAGAGGTTAAGATGAAGCCAGAGAATAACGGTTCAAAAGTGAAAAGAGAACCCAGTGGAAAATGAGAACTTGGGAAGAGTTTTGGGAATGGAAGAAACTGGGAAAAAGCCAGAAAGAAGAAAAACAAAAAACAACAAACAAACAAAACCAAAAAATGACACTGAATTGGGATACCAACAGGGTGGAAAGTAAGTTCAGAGGCAGAAGTTCCCTAAAGGCCTAAATCTAGTTATTCTTTTACTGTTAATAGGTATGCCTAATAACATATCCAAAGGATTTCTTTAAAGTTACCTAAATTTACAATAACATGAACACATCCTAGCTCTCAAAGCAAGATAAATAAGGAGTGCAAAGTACACGTTTCAATTTCTCCTATCCTTGTTCTCACCTGAAACAATTGTAACAGGACCCCGGATTTCAACTAGCTTTTGCCTTGTGAAGTTCTTAATGAGACATTTTATTAAGGTGCTTTTCCCAACCTTGGGAGGGCCAACTACAACCACCACCACAGGAGGTGGCTCCAAAGGAGTACGGTCAACCACAGGAATGTGATGTTTTTTAGTCTTCAAATCCTGAGTTCTGAAAAAAAAAAAAAATTGTAAGAAGTAAATACATGAACTTAAAAAAGGTAGCATTTATTATTTAAAAGTCTTCAGTATTTGCAAAAGCTTGGACACAAAGGTTCAACAAGAGCCCAAATACTAGTATGTATGTGGAGCTCCAAGTCTAAGGAGCTACATACTTTTTTTTTTCCATTAACTAACACAGCTGTACTATGTAACAACAAAAAGCATCATGCTTCTGACATGTGCATTAACTACAACATGACCTGGTGAATGATGAGAGTTACGTGAGTGCACCAGCAAAAAAATACACTACGGATATTTCTACACAGTAACAAAGAACCCCAGGCAACATCTATACATCCAGCCAACCCTGCATGCCCTATACCCAATTCCCATTTCTTACCTATGGAAAGTTCTGGCCATCCGCACAGCGGACTGGACTGTAAAGGCTTTGGGGTTCCTCTTCCGCGCATTCTCCTCATCTCCTATTCCAAGATCATTGAGGTAACGTTTCCTTTTCTTCTCTGCCTTTGGTCCACTGTGCTTTGCACGATGCTTCTTCTTCTCTTTTTCTTCCATCTTATTCTTTCAAAGAAAGTTCACAACCAGTATGATGCAGACTGTTTCTGTGTGATACTGCGCACTCCTGACACAGGAAGAAAATGCAGTTAGCACACACCGCACACGGATGCGGCACACCTGTGAGAGAACAGCAGCACTATGCAAACATTACTGAACCATCTCGGTAAAGCCACTGCTAATCTGTGTCCTGCTGGCACGCAGAGGAAAGCACCGAAGTCCTCCCTGAGCAAAGCAGTATTCCTGACAGGCCCCAGACCCTGCGCGCCGGGCACCGCGTTCTCGCCACCACGGCCGCTTGGCTCGGCCCAGGCCGGTCTCCGCGCCCGGCAGGACGCGGGTCTCTGGACAGGCCGGCAGGACGCGGGTCTCTGGACAGGCCGGCAGGACCCGGGTCTCTGGACAGGCCGGCAGGACCCGGGTCTCTGGACAGGCCGGCAGGACCCGGGTCTCTGGACAGGCCGGCAGGACCCGGGTCTCTGGACAGGCCGGCAGGACCCGGGTCTCTGGACAGGCCGGCAGGACCCGGGTCTCTGGACAGGCCGGCAGGACCCGGGTCTCTGGACAGGCCGGCAGGACCCGGGTCTCTGGACAGGCCGGCAGGACCCGGGTCTCTGGACAGGCCGGCAGGACCCCGGTCTCTGGACAGGCCGGCAGGACCCGGGTCTCTGGACAGGCCGGCAGGACCCGGGTCTCTGGACAGGCCGGCAGGACCCGGGTCTCTGGACAGGCCGGCAGGACCCGGGTCTCTGGACAGGCCGGCAGGACCCGGGTCTCTGGACAGGCCGGCAGGACCCGGGTCTCTGGACAGGCCAGCAGCCCGCTCCAGGACGTGAGGGCCGCCGCAGAGGAAGGGCCACTACTTTACCGTGGGAAAACCGAGACCCCCCCGCCACCGCAGCAGGGAGCTGCCGGCCCTGCGGCCCCTGAGGAGCGGGAGAGCTACCCCCCACAGACAGCGGCCACCGCTCACCGGGCAGTCCAGACCGCGTGGGCCCGCACCGACCGTGCCTCTCTGGAGATCCCCCGGAAACAGAGGCTGCACCCGGAGTTCCGGGAGGCGCGGCTGCGACGGAACCTTATTACCGGTACACACGGCCGCAGGCCGACGGGGGTTGGGCCCGTGAGCCCCTTTAGCGGGGCTAAGCGACCCGCGGTGGGTGAGGAATCGGGAGCTACTTCGTGGTTGTGTTAGGTGTGTATATAACTAGCTCCCCGCAAATGCCGTGAAGGGTCGCGGTAGCTGGCCGGGGGTGCTGGCCCCGCAGCACCGCGGGCGGCAGCTGCACCGCGCCGCCTGCTGCCGCACCGTTTTGGGGGCCGTTCCCGTAGTAACTGGCTGCGGCGGCCTCAGAAATCAATGTGAGAAAGATCTGTTTTAAAGAAAAATCCTTACAAAGGAGTACGGGAGGACAAGCAAAAGTCACAGGGTAAAAACCTGTGAAGGGCAGTGCTAGGAACTTGGACGAAACTTAGATGGGGCTTTTTTCAGGTATTAAGGCCACCACCACAGGAGGACAAGACTAAGCATGTAGGAGGCAGGGTACTCTAGGTGCAAAGTGAGTAGTTGTTTATCTCACATGCAGGCCTGTGCCTGCGCCTTAAGGCAAGTCCTCACGAAGTTGCAGGTAGAGGCCCTGCTTAATTAAGAGAATAGCCCTCTTTTCTGGTGTAATTTGCCTTATGCCAAGAAATGGGGAGGAGCAGAGCTGCTAAAGAGGTGTCCAGGTCATGAACTGCTGTCTCTGTGGTGCTTATCAGATCATGCCTCTCAGGTGGCTTCCAGCAAGGACTCACAGCTGCAGAGGCTGTGGATGTCACTGGTCCTGCTGCTGGAGGAGATGGCTGAGAAGAAAGGAATGCACTTTGCAGTCTTCCACGAATGAACAGAAGGTGCCTAGCAGTGGAGGGAGACCAGGCTGACTGTAAACCACATGGCTGTGTTGGGTCCTCACTTTATCTTTGACAAGTTACATGGAAGAAAATACAGTTTTCAACATTCAGCATGCAAAATCCTCATATCTTCTATAAATGGGCATTTTACAGGCAGTATAAGAGTAGTCCAATACTGAACACACTTGGTTCCTGCCCCACCTTTTCCTCAGCATCATCTACTTGTATGACGGCAGAGATGCTTTTGGCATGCGAGGTCCTGGGGAAGCTACTAATATCTCTGTGACAGTACCTCCTACATGTTGAATAAGCATTTAATTTGTCTTCTAGCATTCTCCACCTCTTAGTAAGGAATGAAAGTTTATGGAAGCATCGTGACATAGTGTTGTACCTGGCTGCTCTGCACAGGTTTGTCTTTGTGTTTATTGTGAAATATATGCTAGGTAGGTCTGTTAAAAGCAACTTGTAACAAAATAAACTCACAACTTACAGAAGAGCTCTACCATGATCAGTAGGTAGCTCTGTGGTGAGAGAATGATTTTTCTTGGACTTGCTCAAGAAGGATTTGGAGTGTATTCCACTTCAGTGCTGGAAACATGGGTTTAATATTAAGGGACGTGCGTGCCCTAGGCCTAATGAAGGGTTTGTAATGCCCAGTATAACCAGAGCAGCTGGGATGACAGCTCAAAACCAGTAACCTAACACAGTTGCCTTGGTGCAGCATTGTGAGCTTTGACAGAATAGAATGCCTTAGTGTGATGGCTGCATGCATTGTAGAGATGAGGCTCACTCAAAAGAATCTGCAACAGTGACCCACCAACTCTTTACCTCAGCCCCATGAGATAAGAGGGTGCTGGTTACTATGCACTTACATCACCAGGGAGGATACAATGGGAAGACCAGATGCTACCTGCCAGGTGGCCCCTAACCCCAGGAAGGAACCAAAACCCCACATCTTTCTTTGGTTTACTGGTCATACTATTTTTTCAGACATCTTTTTTCCTCTTGCTCTTTAACTCACTCTTTATGAAGCAAAGTTGATTTGATACACTTATGAACACCAGTTTCTTGTCTTTTTCACAGGTAAAACTATTCTTGTTCTGTCTGTGTCTAAGAACAAGGCTCACTTCTCATGAGGAAGTTAATATGAGAGAAAGTGTAAATAAATGAATAAGTCTTAAAAGTTTACTAAAGAATCATATATGCAAGATAAATAAAATCATAAACTTGGACTTAGCTCTAATATACAAACGTTTTTGTGTTTAAAGTGCCTTGCAGCTATTGTCTGAAGCTATGATTCTTCCACAAGACATGAGTATGTTCCAAATTCTTCAGATCAAAGTAGAAAGTTTAAATGACTTCTTCACAGCCACAGCTAAAAATTACAAAAGTCAGGGGTAACTTTCTGGAGCTCTTGTGTACACAGCTCAACATACAGCTTCTTGACAGAGATCTTTGTTAATAAAGTAATGGTCTGTGTTTAAGTTATACTTTTATTATGTTTATTTTGTTCTATAAACAAAGTAATTAAGTTAATAACGTGTATATTAAAATCTTCACATACTTAAAATATTCCAGAGCCACATTTTAAACAAGAAACAATTTGTATAGAGAATTTTCAGCATCCTAGGCCCGATAATGCTTGGATACACAACCATGGCAGCGCTCCAGGAAGAAAACCCTTCCATGATTACAGGGGTCTTCCAGATGGCCATGGATCTTGAGGAATATAAAAATAGGCTCCATGTGCGAATGCAAAGCTGGAACATATTTTTATTTTTCCTTTGCATGCAGTTCTGTAAGTTCATTATCACCCAGGTAAAAAACCCTTCATTTGGCAAATGGAAAATTACAATTTCAAAACAAAGACAATAAAAAATATACAGAAGGAAACCACAAAAATATTGCCTTTTAAAAGGCTACAAATGTGGTCATTTTAAGTGAAAACACTATACATCAAGTATCTAGGAAAAGACCAGCAGTGTTCTGTATCAGGAACACACCTAAAATGCAAACACACCCAGTGAGCTGTCCCCTGCCACCACCAAGGCTGTTTTTCCCATGCTAGTACCCCTCTCATGTTAACGCTTTCTCCACTAAAAGCTATAAATACATGTTTTCTGCAGATTTAAGTTAAAGTGAATTCTGACCAGAATAGAAAGAGAACTCTGCAGTAAGGCCACAAAAACAATGCCATAGCCCCAGGCCTCAGGGCAGAATTAATCCAGCATCATTTGAAAAACAGTCTGTATGTGCAAGTAAATGCGACACTGCCAATAACCAGATGCATGCAGGAATACTGCAAACAGCTTTGTTACAGCTCCCAAAGGATGAGGCAGCACACATTCAGCAGGCTACTCTCCAGTAGCTCTTGTTAAATTTGCCTATCTTTGCTCTCCTTCCAGACAGTGCACAAAATTTAGAACAAGCACTCCACACTCAGACCTGCAAAACCTCTAGCTGCTTTGGAGAACACTGCCAATCCAACAAAAACACATTAGTTTTTCATCAGTCAAGCAGACCCACTGTCAGGTTCATGTGTGACCCAGATGACAGGTTGCGTTCTGGCCACCAAAAGCAAAAATGTAACTTTTTGGCCCACCTTGCCCCCAGTTTTGCTCATTCTCAAACAGCGAGTCTAACCCAGTTCCCAAAATTTCATTTCTCATGCCCAGCCAGTGAGGGTCATAGTCACTTACTGTCTCCAGCAGCTGCTGCCCATACAATGGGGCTGGAGCAGAAAGTGTTCCTTGACACCCCTCTTCAGCTAGAACCAGAGGGGGACTGTGCCCCACCTGCTCGACCTCAAGCTTAGATTCCCCTTCAACATAATTGAAAGTGGAGCCCTTCCCAAAAGGAGAAATGTTTGACTTTATATACAAATAGTTCTCATCGCCCAGGCCATGGTTAGCATTTAAGTAGTTTAAGACAGGCCTCCTACACACATTCTCTTTAGCTGCCAGGTACTGATGATCTTCTATACGATACTGGAAAACATCTGCATCTGAGTAGTAGGTTTCAGGGAAAGACTTCTTCAGGTATGGATATTCCTGTGCCTGCTGCACAGGAAACGAGACCTGGGGGGTACTCCCCACACTTCCTGCACCGAGTGGGACCCCTTTCCCCATGCAGTCCAAACCGCAGTGAGCTGGGGTCTGATCCGGCGCTCCAAAAGTGTTATCCAAGCTCCTGAAATGAGTATCGAGCCTTGAGTAAAGCTGCCCCGAGTAAGGGAGAGGCTGACCAGCGAAACTCTGGCTTCCTCCTGGTAGGCCTGGCTGTGGATGGAGGAGGCTCCCATTTGGCCCAAACCCCTCCGTCGTCCGGCTCCTCTCCTGGCAGCCGCCACCGCAGCGGGTCGGTTTTTGCTTGCCACTGGCCGGCTTAGGGTAGGCAGCGGCTTCGCTCTTCTTGTGGTTCAGCTGCCGGGCTCTCCTGTTCTGGAACCACACCTGCGAGAGCAGCAGAGACTGAGCGTCTGCTCCGCCTCGGCCCTGCCGAGGGAAGCCGCCCTCCCGCCCTTCTCACCTGGATCCTGGACTCGGGGATGTCGGTGAGGTCCGAGAGCTGCTCCCGCAGCGCGATGCCAGGGTAGGGCTCCTTCTCGAAGGCGCGAACCAGCAGCTCCAGCTGGGCCTTGCTGAAGGTGGTCCGCTTCCGCCGGCCACCCTCCCGCCCCGCGCTGGGGGCGGCGGGACGCGCCCGGGCCTCGCCTGCGTGGAGAGGGGACGGCAGTCAGCGGTGCCGCGTCCAGCCGCTCTCCTGGAACCCGCTTCTCCTGCCCCATCGCCGCCCTGACCCCCCTCCCTGGCCGCACAAATGCCGAGAACCTTACCGGTGGGTTCGGGGCTTCGGGGCAGGCTGGCGAGCTCCATGTGGGCTGAGGTCTGCGGGCTGTGGGGTGTCATAGGCTGCTCCGTGCCTTATGAGCCCTCCGCCCTGGCCGTGAGCGACCCCCCCGCCAAGGGGGCCGGAGCCGCCGGGCCTGCGAGGGTGACTCACAGCCGTCTCCCACACCTCCATTGTCATCCCATCACCAAAATACACATAATGAGGGCTCGGCCCATCGAAGGAGCCAAAGCGTCTCCCAGTGAAGCCCCCACTGCCGCCACAAACCCATCCACCTTTCTTTAATTCACATGGAGAGTGGATAATTTAATGAAATTATCTTTCACCTCTGCTGGAGCCCTCAGAGAAGTCTCCCCTTCTCTGTGCACCACAGGCCCGGGGCTCTGCTGGAAACGTGGGGCTCCTCCAGCTGCGGGGAGGCCTCCACACCAACCTTCTGAATGGAAACCATCTCAGCACTCGGTTACAAGCCATTGTCTACCCCACTGTGTTTCTATCCACGGCAAATTCTCTTAAATTGAATCATCTTCACTGCAGTAATGAAAACGCGGGTGGCTCCACTAGACGTTGCATCAAAGCCCACAATTCACAGTAAAGGACAAAGCTTCCCCCAGTACAATCTTCAGGCATCTGCAGCCTCCTGCCTGAGCAGTGCTGAAGAGTTCACCACAAGCTTTTCCTGCTGCTGCTTCTTCTTCCCTCCAGACAGCTCTATTCATTCAAGACATGTACAGAACAAGCAAGGTCTATACTTTCAGTCCAAGGTGAAATCATGACCAAAAGAGAGACCACAAATATTATTTAAGGGCCAAGAGTGACATAAGTACTTACAGGGAGCGACAGTTGCGATGTGGGAAAGGATTAGATGTTAGAACAGGATTAGAACAGAAGCAAATCAATTAGTCAATGTAATAATTTGTCAAATGAGACCATTAATAGCTATCACTGAAGGTGTTCAAGAACAGCAGCATCATTACTTCATGTGTTTTTCATCACAATGTGTCCCCATTAATTTTTCAGGTCTGGGACCTGCTCCAGCTTGCTCTGAAACTAAAGGGTACGGGGACAAAGTCTGAAAGCTGTCACATACCATTTGCATTTTGCAGGGACCAGTACATCCAACATCCATGCAGACAGTTTTGAGTTGAGCTGGGCAAGGGTTTTAATATTGCACACACCACTGCAGTGGCTCACAACAAAAACAAATGTCCTTCCAGACAAGGGCAACAGTCAGCCCCTGTGAATCTAGTACTCCACAGGCTGGATTCTTTAGCAGTTCTGCCCATACAGCAAGATAAACGCCTTTAGAAACCACTTTACCTAGATACTGCTTTCAAGCAGAAGTTCATATGAAGGCAGAATGTTGGAGGGATGACAGCAGCACATAGTCCAGAACATCTGGATGCAACAGCTCAAACCAATTTCTCAGTACTCCTCCCTTTTATTCTACCTCAGCATTCCCATAAGCTTGAGCTGCCATAGCACAGACATCCCACAAGATTTCTTTTCTCCCCCAGAGCTTCAGGATAGTTTGGAGGTTTTTTCCTGTTCATGCAAAAAAATAAAATATGTGTTTAAGCAAGAACTGTCATGTGGAGAATAGAAAAAAGCAGCCAGCTGGCAAGTGGTTCAGCAATTGTAGATACAGTCAAGGCATGCTACTAGTCCTTCAGTTTTAGTTCACTTTCCACATTCAGATACATCTGTATCTGGGGGGGTGGATGAAGGCTTAGACATATAAAGCTTGATGGTACAGTTTTATTAACAGTTTTATTAACAGTTTTCTCTATGGCAAATCCAGCTTCAGCTATTCCTTCACGCTGTAAGCATGCAGGGTACAATCTTGCCTGCCTTTAAGCCCTGGCTTTGCATGCGGTCCTGCACAAGGCACCTCAGTGCACACTTGGCTAGCAAATGACCTGACTCACAGAGGTACTCCTTCCAAAAAAAACTGATTATTCTTTTTTTGCCAGGCTCAGTTCAACCACCAGCTTGGGATGGATGCACAGGAGCAGAGGGTAAAAGAGAACTAGGGAGCTCTGATTTAGACTGGCACAAAAAAATACGGAATTGCATATGACCTTTCCATATCTCTGCAATTCCAATATAATTGTGGGGTGCATAATAAACTGGATCAAGGGTACCCAGGATGTTTGTAGGGTACAAAGAGCTTACTCATTCAGTCTGGCCACAGAGAGGGCTAGAAAAAACGCTGTCAGTTTTCTTTCCGGATTTCCAATTTTCATGGCAGAAAACATCATCTCAAAGGAGTAACTACAGTACAAAGCTGATCCTGCAGGCAGCCTGCAATATTGATCTCAAAATGACAGGGAAGTCACACCTTCCAGCACACACATATACACCTTATAGCCACATCCAGCGCAGAAGAGATAAGGAGGAGTCAGCAGAGACTTGCACGGACTTGCACTACTTACTAATAGTGACTGTCCATCACTACTAGCTAGGTCAAATAGACCAGGCTTTTGTTAACATCCTCTGGCTATGGAGAGAGCAGTTCACACTTCCCGGAGTTATTGTTTCAGGCACTCTGCCAGGCAGCCTCTTTACACCCTTCATTTTCAGAGATTTTTTTTTTTGCAATGCTAATTGATAGAGACTTAGATTGCAAGTTTTGTTTTTAAGTGAGATTCCAGGAAAGAAGATGGTAATCTTAACCTCACCCTCTTTTTCCGAGACTCCTGGACTTGGCCTAATGTAAGAGCTAACTTGTGTTACAGCTGCACTCTGACCATACACTAATTCAGGCAACAGCACTGACTAGCCACAGCTGCATATGTTCTCCTCACACCATCTTGCTGTTGCATGTCAGTCATAATCAAAACAATTGCATGTGAGCTCTCCCATCTCTTCTCTAAACTGCGTTGGGAAAATAGTATTCCCCCTGCCACCATATTTTTTTTAATTAGTTTCACCAATAGGGGAATGGGAAGGGCATGGGGAAAGAAGGAGGAATACCCAAAGCAGCATGCTTAGAAAAAACAGTGTCTTGTCAATTCATAGGTTATCTTTAGGATCCCACCAAAACCCATGGAATTCTGCTATAGATTTCAGCAGAGTCCAAATGTTGAAACCCACTGTGTACTCTGCCTATGTTCCTTTATGCCAGTCATGATATTAAGTACATCTACAGAATAATCCAGGTCACATGTAGAATATGCTGAAAACACAACAACAACAACAAAAAGATATAGTGTAAAGGACATTTAGGATGGACAACACAGTTATTGGACAAGGACTAGGCACAGTGCTCTTCAAAATGGCTCTCAAAAAAAGGTTTGCATCTATACTAGTCAAGATCAGGGTATCAGGAACTCCTCTCTCCCTCCAGAGCAGCCCTAGTGTTAGGAGTTGCAAAGGTGACCCCATAATCATGCTAGCATGAATGGGATGCCGAATTACCCTGTGGGGCAGGGGCTCTGTCACCAGGCGCCTGCCCAGGGAGTCTTAGGACAAGCACACCCCTTTAGAAATCCCCACATCAAACATTTTCTAGGGCAGTACAATGCTATTGATGTTTAAACAGAACTTTCATCCTAAAAGAGCCAAGATCAATTTCACTAGTTGGTCTTCAGACATTAACACCTCATAAAAAGGATGCTCATGCCCTGCTTATCTGGAGTGCATCTTTAATTATCTTTTGGTACACTGTTTGCAGCTCATTACGTACCAGTCAACACTGCTTTAATTATGGGCTTGACAGTAAAAGGCAGCTCTTACATCACTGAAATGAAAATGGTACAGAGCAACCTTGGAGAACTGAAAACAAATTTCATGTTCAAATGGAAAACTGTGGAATTCAGCAAAACAACATGGATTCTCTTCCACAAAGATTTCTCCCTATGTGCAGTACTGTCGTAGCCAGATGCACCCAAGAACTTCCAGAGAACTTGAACAGCCAAGTGATGGTTCTGCTCTCACCTGATCTTCAGGGAGAGGAGCATTTACAGCAGCCTGTCTTGTTTTGGAAATATATCAGTGGCCAGACTTGCACTCTTCCATGATGTGCTATCAGGGCAAGCAGGATGGGCACACATTTTGCACCTCGAGCAAAAAGGGGGTGAAACTTACCTATTTGTTTTCTAAGAGCATTCATTTCCCAGGTCCAAAATGACTCTTGAAAGAGCAGCATCACCAAGCTTTCCCTTACAGAAAATCCTTTCATTACACCAAAGTATTGTGCTAGCCTTTTTTCCTACCTGAAATTAATGTTGTTTCTAGCAATCAAAGGTGGCGGAAAACAATAATGCTAAAAGTACCACACATTTTTGAGACGTAACAGTCTTGCTCTGATTCAGTTCCTAATAAAATCTATAGATTTCAAGGTGAAGAAGGCTTTAGGCCAGTTTCCCCATAACTTGAATAATCCCACACTCATTCTTTTTCTTATTTTTAACCCCTAAAATAATTCACAGCACTGACTGTAATTATCTGAAGTCTAGGCTAGCTGTAAAAAAGGGTCATACTAAGACCAAATGTCTGTCTAGCCTGACATTTAACTCTTTAGCACTGGCCAAAAATGGATAACTATCTAGGGATGGTAAATATCTGTAACCAGCTCAGTCAGAGACATACTTGTACTTTTACTTCCTAATGATGATGATGACCTCAGCTGTTTTCAGTGCAAAGACTTCCTGACATGGATGAGAGTTCCTAAGTACACAGAAAGCACAATATGCTTCTATTTTGTGAATTTATTTAGTAGTTTTCTGAACCCGTGTAAAGTTTCAGTTTCCAAAGGTCCTCTAACTAGGTCTTAACCATGTGTTACATTAAATAATACTTATTTTTATGAGTTATTAACATGTTGCCTGCTAGAATCATTTGGTTCTCAGTGCCTCCCACACAAGACTGTGGAATGACCTTCACTGGTTCCTAAGGTTCACACTGCCCGCTTTTCCCATCAAACCCCACCACTTTCCTCCTTCAGTCACTTGTTTTCCAGACTGAAGAATCCCATCTTACTCATGATAGCTGGTCCATGATTACTCGCCCTATGACAACTGCTCCATGCCTTTGGTAACTCACATTGCCCTTTTCATTTTTTTTCCATTCTTCTGTATAGGAAGACTGGAGGGATGCTTAGAATTTAAGATGTCGGGGAATCATGGTGGTTTAGGTATTGTGATAATGTTGTTTTGCCCCACTGCTTTCCTAAGAGGTCCTAACATTTTTGTTTGCTTTTTTGACCATCACTGAGCTTGCATTCTCATATAGCTATCTGTCAGACTCCAAGATCTCATTTCTGAGTTGTAATGGTTGTAATCTGTTGTCTGAACTTGAAAATGGTTCCTGACTTGGGCTGTCATCATGCTGCCTACTGGTGAGTTTTTGAGTCCTGTGACAATCTTGAAAGGAATGGTCATCCCTTAATTTTAAATTAAATAAGACCCGACATAAAACTTAAGCCAAAGTATTTGCAAACTTTGTGTATTTATTAAGTGGTAACCCGGTAGTACCCAACAGTATTAATTTTTCTTCTGTGGTTTAGAAAAAGTCTTGGGAGATGGATACAGGCTAGCACAGACTTGCTAGGAAGTTAATGAGTGGTGCTCCCACTCTCGCACAATACAATGTCTCCTGCTCCGGTGGAGAGAAATCTCTCTTCTGTGGGACAGCCACTCAGCGCACTGATCTAGAGTTTGGACAGGTTGAGCCGGAGTCTGTGAAGAGGATGACCACTGGGAAGGGCAAACTAGCAGAGCAAAGCCTGCACCAGCACAGAAATGAGCTGAAGTAGGATTTCCACTTCTAATACGCCTAACACGTAGATTATCAGTATTCTTGACCTCTTTGAGCCCTGTGTAGAAAAGCTGCACAGGAACCCATGCAACAGCAAACCTGTGTTCACTAAAGTCCTGCCTCAAGAAACATCAACAAATCATGTATAAAATATCCTCCTGAAATCCAGCCTGGGCCTCCAGATGATTACTGAGTGCAGCCCAGTCTGTCAAACCCTTGCTTGCTCTACCACCACTGAGATAAATGCATTTCCATTCAAATGTAGCAGTACTTTATGCCCAGTACAGTCACATTCATAGTCTGCAAGACTTAATGGTAATCCTTTCCTCATACTCCCTGCCGTCTCCTTCCCTGTCTCCTCGCCTTTGTAAGAAAGTCTCAGTCATCATCTTCACCTGTGCTGTTTGTGTAAGTGGTAGATATGCCCTATGACTGATAGCTCCAGCAACACCTGTGGACTGTTTGTTAGCACCTGAAAGGATCAGACCTCTGAATGACAGATATTTCAGGTAAGGACTGCCTTTTTCTTGTGCAGGCAGAATACAAACACACCCATATGTTACTGTAGAAATACAAGAAATCCCAACATCATAGTCTGCCGGGCTTGATTACGATAACTAGTTGCCTAAAGATGAGTGAATTGGCCTTAAGGCTAGTCTGCTGGGACTGGAGACAAGTTGTCTGGAGTCTTTCTTCCCTGTTCAAAGAACCATCACTCTAACCTTCCTCCTCAGTCCTATTCCTTCTCATCCCCCAAATAACATCCCCACCCATGTGTTTGTAATGAAATGTGCTTCCCACCCATCTGCTAGTGACCCCATTTCTTTGTTAGATGTGTGCTGGCTTCTTCATACTGCAGTTAGCTTTTCCATCACAGTATTCATATTCCAGACATGTAGACAACTGTGTCAATTGACATGACTTGTTCATTAACTGAGAAACACAATAAAGATGCATTAGCTGGTCCCAACAGACCCTCAAGAAAAGTGAACTAATTGGAAACCCTTTATTTTTCTCAACACTGCACTCCTATGTTTACTACCATGAATATGAAGAACTTGGCAAACTAAGGCAGTGTCTTTCAAAACAGGAAGCAGGAAAAGAGTTAGGAATTCCTTCAGAGAGAAATAAGAAGTGATATCAGATACTTACATTACTGTAAGTAATACAGTTTCGAATAGCCTAAAGTACTCAGTTTGTTTTTTCAACA